AATCCTCGTCCCTCCTAGCAACTTTTTTTAATTTTTGGTTTTTAACGGAATTTTTCGGGGATTTCGGATTTTTTTCGAATTTTTTTAAGCTCATTTTTGGCCTTATATCAGTGATTTTCGGCTCCTTTTTGGCCTATTTTAGCTCATTTTAACTCATTTTTGACCGCTTTTCAGTCTAATTTCACTCGATTTGGCCGATTTTCAGTGATTTTCAGTAGTTTTCGGTGGATTTTTGCTCATTTTCAGTCGATTTTCAGCTCCTTTTTAGCGTATTTGTGACGATTTAAGCTCAATTTTGACCCATTTTAGCTCAATTTCTGACTGATCTTACCTTCATTTTTGGCCTATTTTTTATCAAAATTTCAGCAAAAGTCAATTTTAGCCCATTTTCTTCTAGTTTTTCGTCAATTTTCAGCTTTTTTTTGGCTCATTTTGAGGCTTGAAATCACCAATTTTCGAAAATTTCAAAATTTTTAAATTTCTGATTTTTGGAATTTTGCGATTTTTATCAATTTTCAGTCTTCCAAATTCATATTTTTTGAAATTCCCGCCAAATCTAACCCCTAATTTTCTTTTCAGAATGCTTCGTCGCCTCGTCTCAATTTCTTCTCCGTCTTCTCTGCGTCTCTTCTCCTCTCGTCTCTTTTCCTCTGCCACGTCATCATCTGAAAATGCTGAAATCATCGATACGGATCGTGTGAAGAACGACGTCTTCCGTTCGATTTCCAATGAAATTCAATCGGAAAAACGGCAGAGACTGTTTGCGGTTGTCTATGTCAATGGGAGACAGTGGAAGGTACAGTATACCCAGGAAAATCGAAAAATTTGAAAATTTGAATTAAAAAAAAAATTTTTTTCGCGATTTTTTGGTAAATTTGGAGCGTTTCCATCTGATTTTTCAGCTGAAAATCGATTTTTTTGAAATTTTCTAAAAATTCTAAAAATTTCAGAATTTTTTGAAAATTTTCAAAATTTCCATTTCCAGGTCAGCGACGGCGACCTTATCAACCTCGAAGGAAATCTGCCGTTATCAGTTGGCGACGAAATAAAGCTGGAGAAAGTGCTCATGGTGGGCGGAGCCAACTTTTCGCTGTTCGGCCGCCCACTTCTGGAGCCCCATGCGGTTACTGTAGACGCCGTCGTCGTTGAGAAGAAGACGACGAATCCAGAAGCACACTATGTTCATCTCAATCATCATCAAACCAAATTTCTCAATTGTAAGATTTTGAGCAATTTTGAGCCAAAACTTAGGCTCCATCCATTTTCAATAAAGTGGGCGGAGCCTATTTTGAAGTCAAGTAAACTGAAATTCAGGCAGAAATGTTGGAAATACAGTGAATTCTGAAAATTAGAATTTCTGAAAAATCTTTAAAAATGAGACATTTTGAGCCAAAAATTAGGCTCCGCCCATTTTTTTTAAAGTGGGCGGAGCCTATTTTAAAGTCAAGTTGACTGAAATTTAGGCACATATACTAGAAATACAATAAATTCTAAAAATTTGAATTTCTGAAAAATGAGCAATTTTGAGCCTAACATTAGGCTCCGCCCCTTTTCAATAAAAGTGGGCGGAGCTTAATTTTTCTGTTTCAGTTTTTGAGAAAACGAATAATGGAAGTTTAACAGCGAAACTATCCAAAAATAAAAATTTGCGGTCAAGAAAATTGAAATATAGGAACAAATGCTGGAAATACAGTGAATTCTGAAAATTTGAACTTCTGAAAAATCACGAAAATTGAGCAATTTTGAGCCAAACATTAGGCTCCGCCCACTCTTCCGAAAAGTGGGCGGAGCCTAATTTAAAGTGAAGCAAATAGAAATTCAAGCACAAATGACGGAAATACAGTAAATTCTAAAAATTGGAATTTCTGAAAAATCCTGAAAAATGAGCAATTTTGAGCCAAAACTTAGGCTCCGCCCACTTTTTGGAAAATGAGCAATTTTGAAAAAAAAATAATTTTTTTTCCAGGGAAATCCGACGAAGCTACCGTAGTCCGTATCAAGAGTGTGACGGCGAAGGGAGTTGAGCAATGAGCAATGGATTCTCTTCTCATTTTTCTATTATTTTGTTGATTTTTGATTTTTTTTGAATTAATTGAAAATTGAAATTTTTGTTTTAGAATAGCTATTTTCTCTCTCTCTCTCTCTCTCTCTCTCTTATTGTCTATTCAGACAGTATTTTTTCAATAAATCGCTGAAATTTCAAATTTCAAACCGCCGCTTTCTTCATTGAAAATCAAAAAATTAAAGAATTTGAGAAAAAAAACGAAACTAAATATCAAATCAAACTGAAGAGAAAATATCATATTGAAATCAGGAGAGAGACAGAGAAAGGGGGCGTGGCCAAAGAAATAGAGATCCCAAAAGCATTTTTGGACGGGGTCTTATAAAACAGAGCGAGGGGGGCGTGGCTTGTAATGGGGGCGGAGTTTCATTCACATCACAGCTGGAATGGATATACATTTATATGTGGGGAGGAGGAAAAGGGGGCGGGGCTTGTATAGAAATCTGGAGGGGCGGGACTTAAAAGGGGGCGTGGTTAATATAATAAAAACTTCTCATTTAAATAGAGGGGGCGGGGCTAACGATAGGCTGTTACTAACACAAAACAAGCTGGAAAAGGGGGCGGAGCTTAATGGAAAAAAACGAAAATCGGGAGGAATAATTGGACAAACTGGGACAAAAAAAGCGAGTATATATGTATATATCGGACATTTTCTTATATATTTCTTATGGTACATGGAAAATCAAAGTGGGCGGGGCTTAGAGGGACTCAATGAGCAAGATTTAGACGTTCGGAGCTCCTGCATTCCGTGCCTGCTCAGCCATCACCCGCTTGTGATGCGCCTCGGCCTCCTCCCAAATCAGCTCCTTCAGCCGCTCCTTTGGCAAATCGTCAAATTCCATTTCCAGAGTGAACGGCTCCTCGCACACCGGCTCGTCTCCTGGATCGTAGTACTGCTCGAGGTACGGGTGGGCCAGCGCTTGCTCGATGTCGATGCTGGAATCAGAATACCATACTTTGAGTCCTTATATCTCATTTACTGTAAAAGATATCAAAATGTGGTCAACTGATAAGATATTCCTCATTTCATGATAAACAATTTATCAGTTCACGCTCTCCCACAGAACATTTCCGAACTGCAAATTAATTTTTGATCTACAGAAAAAAGTTTGGCGCGATCACAATTGCATGTCTAAAACAATAATTTCAGAATTTTATATCTGATTTTGAAGAGTTCCAAAATGATTCAAATGATTCTTAAAAAATTAATTAGTGGTTATAGATTCATGTATGGTCGTTTTCCGGAAGAAAAAATGTCAAAAATG